TTGTTTAAGTATTGATATTTAACGTCATTTACAAATACCAATAAAATAACCCCATGAAATAAATGAGATATATTGAAAAATATGAAAGCCCACCAAGACGAGTTTCATACCTGTTATTACCTGGCTTGGGAATTGCAGCGGTGCATAATTAACAGGTTTGTTGTAAACGAGCTTTTGGTCAACTACAATGCATTTAAAATGCATCAGCAATCAGTAAGTTTGCCAACTGATGACAGTTAATCTGAAAGACTACCAGCTCTTGATATGATCTAAACCACCTGAGGTGACCATGATCTAGAGCATCGCAACTATTGTCACCGAAGTTAGTAAGTAAGTCACGGAAGACCGTCACAGACAAAGAAAGATTGTCAACGAGAGCTGCAATTTTGGTGAATCCCACGGCAACACACCGAGGCATAACGAAAATTCCTCAACTCCGTTCAACACAACTTTCATTAACTTCTCCGTCTGTATGCACCATGGAGCTCAGTTGAGTCTCATTATCGTGATTGTCGTCACAGTACCACGTGACCAAGATCTGTTGCTTCATTTTTGCATATTGAGGTGAGGTTTACTAAAACGCTTTTTTTCTACTAATAGATTGTTTTTATAATTTTTAAATGGCGGGGATCGATTAAAACATACCTCTAGTGTATAGATTGAGTGCTGTATCTTCAAAATTCGAGAAATGAATTTTTACATGAACATTGTCCTTTAAAGAGAACACTCACCAGGCCTTGCAGCTACACAACTGACACCGGCATCTTCCGAGTGTCCACAGTTGTGCGATTCCCAGCCTCTGTAGGAACATTCTTCCAGAGTACTTTCACTGCCAGTACAAGCTACGTCGTCCATGTAAATGGAACCAGTACCTTGGCCAAAGGTAGCTCTACTAAATGCGGTGGCTTCACTATCGCTACAAAATAGAAGACGCGTTTTATTTAAACTCAAACTAGAATGCTTGATCACACTTGATTTAACGACTTATAATTTCCATCTTATTTTGCTTAACCCAATTAAGCTTGCGAACATCGTCATATATTAATCGAGGAGCCACAGATTAATAAGACTAAACATTTTAAAGATACAAAACAGCACTTGCGTGTAGTTTTCAGAACCTACACCCGTACTGCATACTAACCTGAAACCGAGCATTCTGCAGACCACAGCGGCATCGTTGTCATCCCAGCTGTCATCACAGACAGTGCCCCATTCGCCTTCACCCTGACGTACTTCAACTCGACCTTCACCCTCAATGGCACCTTCGACCAATCGGACAGCGACTGAAATGTAGGTATGATCAATACGTGTCAATAAATATCGGAAGTTTAACATATTTATCTCATTACTGCTGTATATTTTCATTAAACCTAGTAATTGGCCAAAAGTCATTTGCTCAAACGAAATATTCCTCCTCATTAACGATCTTTTAATGTGTTACCACTAAAAGTCTTACATGTACACGTACCAGTGTAAATCGATTTGTAGCCCTTTTCTCTCAGGAACGTGAACAAAATATTTTTTAAGGTTACGCGGAAAAGAATAAAAAATACGAGTAAAATTGTAAAAAGTCGCAATTCACAGCTGATGATAGAGGGCGGCACTTCCAATCTAATAACATCACCAAATAATTGTATACATGATAAAAGGCCAATACTAATGTTACACTTATCAATTCAAATCTATAACAGTGAGTTTATCATACTTGGTGCTGGTGTTGTTGGTTCAACAAAGTAGCATCTGACACTGGCATCTTCGTGATGTCCACAGTTGTGTGATCTCCAACCGTTGTGACCGCAGTCTTCGATAGAGGCTTCACTTCCATCGCAGTTAACGTTATCCATGTGGATTCCACCACTTCCTTGACCATGTTCGGCATTACTAAATGCAACTGCATTAGCGGGACTGGAATGGTTTTGGAAATGTGCTACAAACAATTTGTACACATGCAAACATCATGATATTGTTTCCAATTGATAAAACCATATGTTTAAAAATTCAAATCATTATTACAGTGTGTCGTTAGGTTATTTTGATACATTTAATAACCAATTACTGTAAATTCTATTTTATTTGTTCACTTCTATTTCAACATGTGACCCAGTCGTTGGACGGACGCTCTGGTATATGTTATTTACCATAGTGTATCCTACAAAACGATAAAAAGTTCTATAATGTTCATCTAAGTTTGGCCTAAAAATGTGTACTGAGTACACCAAGACTACTGGCGACAGAGCTGGTTACCGAAAGAGTTACATTTAAGGTGACTCTGGATAACTATTTTTTTCTTTTCCTTTTTTTAAGAGCACAAAATATATGTTAGGACGTGCCGTTAAAAAAGAAAGGACGCAACACCTACTCGTAACCAAGCATTCGGCAGACCACCTGGGCATCGTTGACATCCCAGCCGTCATCACAGACAGTGCCCCATTCGCCGTTATGGAGGACCTCAACTCTTCCCTCACCGTCACGTTCACCATCCACCAATCTTACTTCAACTGCAAAACAATGTGGCCGACGATTAGTTTTTTACCGGTATATACCTAATAACTTGTTTGTATACACGTCTAAATAAAATACATCAAATGTGCGTTTTTAAATCACCATGTTTACAGAAATATAGAAGTTTGAATTTTAATTTAAAAACTTACCCTATGACATAAAATTTCATTACATATTCAGAAGTTCAAATGTGCAAGAGATTGAAAAAGCACGAAATACATTTTTATTTAATACATGCCTGGTCCAGCTGGAGTTGTTGGAGCTGTTGTAGTGGGTTCCGGAACAAAGCATCTGACACCAGCATCCTCAGAGTGAGCACAGTTGTGTGAGCTCCAACCGTTATGTCCGCAAGCTTCGATAGAGGCCTCGTTTCCAGAGCAGGCAACATTATCCATAAGAATGGGATCAGTGCCTTGACCGAAATGAGCGCGGGAAAAGGACACGGCGTCGTCAGGGCTGGAATTTAAAATTTTTAAGTTAAATAATGTTACTACTGGTAGAAATTTCCTAAAGCAAAACCAAAACTTGTAAGCTTGCCACAAACGATGACGATTTACTTTAATTGTTATCATCATTTGAATTTGCCACATGACGATATGTACTTTAAAAGATACCAAGAAAATATAGTGCTGTTTAAAATGAACCGTATATTTACTTGTAACCAAGCATTCTGCAGACAACAGCGGCATCGTTGTCATCCCAGCTGTCATCACAGACAGTGCCCCATCGGCCATTATGGAAGACCTCAACTCTTCCCTCACCGTCTCGTTCACCACCCACCAATCTTACTTCAACTGCAAGGGGATGTGGATGACAATCAGGGACAATGCACGTAAACAATTATCATTTCAGTTCAGAATAACAGACGTGTGTAGGATGTCAACGATATAGATTCAAAAAGGGGACCTTTTAAATAGCTTATAGAATGAAACTGTCTTTTAACCCACCAGGCAGTGAAGGAGTAGGTTCAGCAGCTACACAACTGACACCAGCATCCTCAGAGTGAGCACAGTTGTGTGAGTTCCAACCGTTATGTCCGCAAGCTTCGATAGAGGCCTCGTTTCCAGAGCAGGCGACATTATCCATAAGGATGGGATCAGTACCTTGACCGAAATGAGCGCGTGAAAAAGAAACGGCGTCGTCGGGGCTGGAAGTTCAAATGTCGAAGTCAAATATTGGTATATGTACTGTTGGTAGAATGTCCCAAAAACCAAACCAATAACTTTTAAGGTTGGTGCTTGTATAGCCGGTGACGACAACCCTAGCTGTTATCATTATTTGAAACTGCCCAATGTTAAGTGATGGGCTTAAA